AAACTTTGTATATAAAACAATTTAACATATAGTTTTTAGATAAGTAATTTTAATAAATAACTTTAGTAGTTAGCACTTTTTTAATTAAAAAATACTGAGCACAAAGGTAAGTACTAGGTTAGCACACATATTAAGGAGTTTCTTATTTTAATTGTTCAATTTTACTAAAATTTTCTTGAAAGTTTATTAATAAGTGTGAAAATGATAATTACTACAATTATTTACTTGATTATAAAAACTCATGCAAGTTGATAAAATACATCAAACTGTTGTGTTCGAAATCAAGTTTATCAATCAAAAGTCAAAGCTCTACTTGAAAAAAAAAATTAAACTTCACATCTTGCTGTAAAACATCTCTGGAACACAATACCAGTTATGCTTATTAAAAAAGAAATAATAACTCATGAAACTTTTTTAGAATTTAGGGCAGATTTAGTTGGTTGGAAAAATTTCTGAAAATTAATGTCTCCTCCTGTGTATTAAGCACCTACGGGTACTCATTAATAATAAAAAAAATTTTCCAAATTTAAAAAAACAGTAAAACAGCTGTTTACAGCTGTTTTTAAAAATTCTAAAACAGTAAAACAGCTGTTTTTCAAAAACCACTGTTTTTCAGAAACCCTAGCCACCTTAGATGTGAGAATATCTGGAAAATCGTGAATGTAAATTAAAAAGAGTATAGGGCCAATGATTGAACCTTGAGGAACTGCTGAAGTTACAGGATATGAAGAAGAGTGCTGTCCATCGAAGACAACCTATATACTACGATTGAAAAAGAACGATTCAATAATCTAGAAGATGTTACCAGATACATTGTAAGAAGAAAGCTTATGGAGAAGACCAGCATGCCAAACTTTATCAAAAGCTTTGAAAATGTCAAGAGCGATAACCTCTCCACCTCTATCTAATGCACAATAAAATCTATCAGTTATTACTGTTAGCAAAACAGCTATAGAACGAGAAGATCGAAATCCATATTGATGATCAAAAAGTAAGTTATTAGATTTAAGATGAGAGATTAATTGCTTTTTGATTAAAGATTCAAAAACCTATAGATAGAAAGAAGACTAATGGGATGGTAGTTACACGAATCAGATCGCTTTCTAGAATTTTTGAAAATAAGTTACAGATGTTGCTTTCCAGCAAGCTGGAAAACAAAACTCTGATAAGCACTTATTAAATAGTCTTTAAAGTATAGATAACAGCTCTGAAGAATACTTTTGCAAGACTAAAACAGGTATGTTGTCTGGACCACAAGTTGTAGAAGACTCTAAGTAGAAAATCACTTTAAATACAGAAGCTGGAGTGATACGAATGTCAAGTAATGGATCAACCTGTTTGACGGCTATATCAGGTAGAATGTAACTAGCAGAATCAGGAGATGATTTTGATGAAAAGTTCTTAAACAAACGCCTTTTTTGCTGATAGATATGAAAGTATTGGTTTTGATTGGAAATTGCAGCAGCACAATGTGAGGAAAACCATAGAGAAGAGTGAGGCTTGACCAATAATTGTTGAGAGGAAATAAAAGATTCCATGCCAACCTGAATCCACAAAGTTATGTAAGAAGCACATTTGTCAGCAGGAATACGAAAGATTTCTACTAGGGCCATCACAAAGAAAATCACAGAAAGAGTCCCAGTCAGTTTTAAGGTAGTTGTAAGAGGCACGATAATAGGGGGATTCAGATGATTAAGAAGAATGAGATAATAGTTTTAGAGAGTTAAACCGTGATTAGAAGCACCTAAGGGTGAATGTGGAGAAACTGAGCACTGACTAGAACCAGAAACAAGACATAAGTCAAGAGAAAGTAAACAATTCGGGTTGTCTGGAAAGCAAGTTGGAAAGTTGACTATTTAAGTTAGGGATTGAGAAAGCCAAAAGTTGTGGGCTTTAACACCTGCAGAGTCACTGACACTAGAGCCAAGCCATTCAGTGTAATGAGCATTAAAGTCACCAACAACAACAATATTGGCTGATGGATAAAGAGAGAGGGCTTGGTCAATTTGATCAAAACATGCCTGCTGATAAAGAGAAGAAGCTAGATGCAAACTTTGTATTGAACTTGTATTATGTCTAAAGTATTTAATTCATCAGCAAATAGTAACCTTAGAAATAAGGTTATCAGGGAAATTAATTATATAGCTAAGAAGCAACACAGGACCTAGGATAAAACCTTGTAGCACCAGCAGTTACTGAAAACAAATTGTTATATATTAAAAATGACTTTAACACTGCAGTTAGAAAGAAAAGATTCAATAACTTTAAAAACTTTAGCAGATACACCATATGAAGAGAGCTTATAGAATATTTTCTAGCAGACAGTAAAACAAAATTGAGTTAAGTACTCCTTATGCCGCCCTCTAAAAGATTGAGGTCGGCAAAGTATTGCCGACCTCAATTTTTCTAATTTCGAGGGTTGTATATATATATATATATATATACGACACACCCGAAGTTCGGTTAATATTTGTTTATCAGCCATTTTGTTTGCTGCTTTTGTAAAGCAGTAAATCTTGAAAGAAAAAATTAGATCTAATCTAATTATTTAGCCTATGAAAATTGACTTTAAAGTCTTTTAAATACTAAACTTTTAAGTGAAACAAAAATCTCCGTAATTTACAGAGTTTCAGGTGCATCATTTTAAAGTTGTTTTAAAATGTTAACCAAATAAAGAAAAAAATTGATTACTATCTCTTTTAAATCTAGGCTTGGATACTCAACCTATTCCTTTAAAAAATGAAGCACTCAACTTTTTAAATTCTGATAAATCTAGTAGCTCACCTACAACATTACTTGTTCAGCACCAATCTTCTACAATGTCAAAAAACACTCTTGTATCCTTATAGCAAACACGTCTGAGACCGAAATGGTAGTACATATTTTGTGTAATGTTATTTAGTTAACATTGATTTTACAAACTCATTACTTTGAAAGAAAAATAATTTAATAAAGTGTATAGTAACTAACTATTTTTATCATTAATTATTATCTTAAAAAATTATATTAATTATTATCTTTAAAAATTGAAATGCTTTAATATAAAGTAAAGTAAAATAAGACATATGCTTATTTCATCTTAAAATACACTCATTTAATATTGCTTTTTATTTTTAGGTGGGCTTAAGAAAAATTACCAAATTGACTGCAAATTAGTATGCTGCAATTAGTTAAGGAAGTAGTTGGCAAGCAGTCAAAAATTTGGCAGTTGCTGTTTTTGAGCATAAAGTTTTATCAAGTCAGGAGGTCAATGTAATTCAGTCAAAGGTAGCATATCTAAGCCAGCTTTGAATTAAAAGAAAGTTCAGGAAATATTAGGTATTGATATTAAAATATTTTATTTTGCACCACTATTTGCCTTTGTTTTATATAATGAATATAATATATAACTATTAGTTTGTTTATGTTTTTGTTTTTAGACTTCTTAACTAAGCAATTTCCAAGGGAAAATTAAGCTATGTTCAGAAAAGCAAAGCAAAGAGCAATAATGAGAGCAAACTTGCAAAACAAAGCAATGATGCTTTTAAGAAAACTATTGTTGATAGAGAACATTATGTTAATAACAATAAAAATTGATATATTTAATAACAACAACTGACTTGCTGACTTAATCGATATTCTGTTCTTTTTTTTATCTTATTTTTTTGTGAAATTAATTCCTTGGTTTTTATTATATTAAGAACTAAAAGATAATGCCCAAGATTTACCATTATTATATACACACCTTTTGTTATATACACACCAGTTGTTATATACACACCTGTTGTTATATACACACCTGTTGTTATATACACACCTGTTGTAAATCATGTAGGAATACCCTAGAGGATATTCCTTTTAAATATTCTTTAACAACTGTAAAGGGCAATTTGATATATTTTCAAACAAGATTGAACAAGATTACTGTACATATAGGAATGTCATTCATCCTTTTTATAGAATATTCTATAAGACTTATTGACTAGGGAGCCATATTCTACTCTACTGGTTTTCTTCTTATTGCAAGCTAATGATGCAAAAACTATTGTCTAACGCTAAGTTTTATTATTGCCTGATTATTACATCTTTTAATTTATTACAGAAACTCAAGAATCAAATACTTAAAATTTATGAAATTCTTTTTTTATTACTAGGTTTTTTGATTAGGTTATTAAGACATTTTTAGAAAACTTTTAATAGTGTCATTGGCAAAGATAAGTTCTATAGTCTAGTTTTTAATTAAAACTTTTAATTAAAATTTTAATTAAAACGGCAAAAAAATTTTCTTTATTTTATTTTGTACTTATTTTTATAATTTTCTGCAAGTTTTTCATATTTCATCAAGGTTTCAAAACATCAATTCTTCTGATTTGATGAACCTTTTGATCTGAAATTTCAAGACATATTCTTAACAACATTAAAATTTATTTGAAAGATATGTTAATTTAGTTATTTTAAAAATTCATTATTTTTAGTTTGCTAATTGCTTATTCTAGTTTGCTAATTGCCAGCTCTCGTATATGAATCAAAACTTACTAGCTCTCCCAAGGATAACTATTTGCAAAGCATTTTTACTTTTTAAAGTAACTGCTGGTGCTACAAGGTTTTATCCTATGTCCTGTGTTGCTTCTTAGCTATATAATTAATTTCCCTGATAACCTTATTTCTAAGGTTACTATTTGGTTATGAATTATATACTTTAGACATAATACAAGTTCAGTACAAAGTTTGCATCTAGCTTCTTCTCTTTATCAGCAAGCATGTTTCTTACTACTGATTCTATTATCTACCTCTTTAAACTCAGTTTACAGTTTTGTAAGTCTTCTGTCAACTATTTTTATTTTGTCTTCTGTTAACTTAATTCACTCCTTTGCTTTCTTCTCTCCTGATTATTAACAAAAGTAGTTGTTGCTTACAGCCTTGTTGGAGTTGGAAATGAATTTGTAAGTTAAAAAAAAAAAAAAAAAAAAATAACAACAATAGTAAATATATATTTTAAAACAAAACAAATAAAAGAATACCTTCATAAATGTTCGAGATTCTAAATAGTTCATTATGAAGGGAGGTATGGCTGCAAATAGAAAAAATAAAACACATATATACATTTTTTAAAAATATCTGCTGGTACCCCCTTAATATGTATTATATGATTAAGTAAGTTTGGATTTAAAATATTTTTGAATTTAACAGGTCACTAATATTATTAAAAAAAAATTTTTTTCATAATTATCACATTATCAAAAGTATTACACATTATCAAAAGTATTATCACATTGGGTATTATCTTGTTATTATCACATTGGGTATCAAATAAGGCAAAATTAAAAAAAAAAATTCAAAAATTATAACTTTATAAAAAACATTGAAAAAAAAACTATAATAAAAATTTTTTGTAAAAATGCACTTGATTTTTAGTTAAAAAATAATAATAAATCCAGCATTATTTTATTATATTGTAGACATAGGGACAGTACCAGCAGATGTTTTTCAAAAAAAAAAATTCAAATTAATTTTTATTTTGATAGAGTTTTTTTTTTGGTTGATCTTTTTCAGATCTGAGCTTTCAAGGACGATCAAAATTAGAGCTGTTAGAGCAAGCTAATTTTTTGATTCTTTCTAATTTGAATGGTTCACATTTTACTTGTTTTTTTTTTCTGTTAGGAGCTTGTAAAGATTAGTTAGGAGCTATAAGTTAGTTAAATATTGTTTGTATAAAAAAATATATTTTATATACAAAAATATACATATATAAATAAACTTTTCATTCTAATTCACTCCCAACAAGGCTCCAAGCAACCACTACTAGATTGGGAGTTACTAGAAAACAAAGAATAGAATTAAAGAAAAAGGAAAAGGTTGACAGAAAACTTAAAAAGTTGTAAGTTGTATGAGTCAGGGAAACATGAAGATGAAAGAGAGTTCCAAAGAGAAGTGCAGGGAAAAAAAAAAAAAAAAAGTTTTTAGAGAATGCAGAGACAGATATAGTAAAAGGATGAGACTTTGCTGAATAATGAGTCAAGCGAGAATGAACTTTGGTTGATGGAACTAGAGATGATAGTTCCTTTGAGCAGCAACCAATATAGTATTTGTAGAAAAGAGACAACAATGGGAGAAAGGCTCAAGCTTGACAGATTCATAGCAGGTCCAACTATGTTTACAATGCCTTTTTGGGCCTTGCCTAGAAGTGAAAGAGCATCATTAGAAAAACCAGCTCAAATATGATAACAGTATTCCATACAGGAACAAATAAGAGATTTATAGAGACAGAGAATCCAGGAGTAAGAAAATGTTGAGCACGATAAAGAGAAGCAACCTTAGCAGATGCTAACATGTATATACGGTTTCCATGAGAAGTCAGTAGTAAATGATGATCCAAAAAAATGTAAAGAAGAGGAGTCAAGAGAGGGTTGCCATTCATTAATACAGAAATATCAACAGTATTGCGATAGTTGTTTGCTATAAATAACTGAGTTTTGCTGGAGTTAAAATTTACAAGCCACTGTGAGCCCTTCTTAAATGTTAAATCTGATCTCACTTCTGTTTCAGAAGTGAGATCAGATTTAAGATTGGTTGTCTATTAGGGTGGAGTGAAAAAACCTTTTTTTGGAAATTCATTTGAGCTGGGTATGGAAAAGTTGCCTTTGGGTTCAAAATGAACTGTGGTAAAAGCATTTTGCTCTAGATTAATATTTAGGTCTGCCCCAAAGCACTTGAAAATTTGAATATTTCGTTAATTTCAGCATTTTTGGCTTAAAAAATAATAATTTCCTATCATTGCAAATTCAAGTTGGCTGGGTATTTAAAAGTTGCCATGTAGTACAAAGTAAACTGTGGTAAAAGCATTTTGTCCTAGGTTAATTCTTAGGTCTGCCCCAAAGCACTCGAAAATTGGCGTTTTTCGTGCATTTTGTGGTTTTCGGAGAAAAAGTTAATAATTTCCTATAACATTATTTTGTTTGAATTATTATGTTAGAAATTAATTATTTTATTTTTATATTATTATTTTAGATTAGAAAATTATTTTTGATTAGAAAATTCAAACAATCTCGTATCTGTGAGTGACGTCCGAACAAAAATAACAAGAATGGCTGGTGTTAGTGGGTGTAAGAAGCACAAGACACGGCTGCGTACCAATTGCCCAATTTTTGGAAATCCTTCATATTTACCAGAGACCGTTCTTCCCACAAATGCTGATGTGATGAAATATTACTTGTTCCTTAAAGACGAAATGACATATAGATCTGCAGAGATCCCTTCAGTTGCTGAAGTTTCAAGTTGTGTTTCATCGAAAGTCGAAGCATTGTGGCACAAAGCATTGATTCCAATTACAACACACAAGCGGATTGTAGCGAAGATAAAAGAACTTCATGACAAACATCCAAATATGCTCAAGTCCTTATAAAGGCGACAGAATGATCCTAACTATCAAGCAAAGATGCAAAAGTTTTGTACAGAAGCTAATTCTCAGTTGTTTGACATCGCAGTCTGCAAATGCTTGGACATAAATCACTGCAATTGTGAGAAAAGTTTTAAGGTACCAGTTGCAGAAAGACCATTTTTGGAAGATTAAAGAAGTACAAGAAATATGATGATTGGAAGTATAGATAAAGTTGTTACAAATCGATTGAAAGAACGCGATAATCGCAAAAGAAAACTTTCTAATATTTACAAAACTCCAACAACAGCCACTACATCTAACTCCCTATTGTCTTCAAATATTGTTGAATTCAGTTCGTCTTCTGATACTGAAACTGACAACGATACTGATGTCCATTTTCCCTCAATACATAAGGTTCCAACTACTGGAACAGCAGAGAAAAAACAGATGAGAGCAAACATTCCAAATATCTCAAAGGAATGTGATCGCCATAGCATTTCAGATTGTGCTGCTGCAGCTATTGCTAGTGCCGTGTTGCAAGACGTTGGTATCGCGAATGACTGTGACAGTACAATGGTTATTGATAGAAGTAAAATTCGAAGAGAAAGACAGAAGGTTAGAAATGAACTTCAATCCCACCTTGCTTCTAATCTAACAGGTTTGTACTTTGATGGTAGAAAGGACAAAACAAAAATGCAACTCAAGAAAGGTTCCAAGTATTATTACAAAATAGTTACAGAAGAACATGTTACACTAACTCAAGAGCCCCATTCAATATATGTCGGTTACATAAGCCCTGAAAATGGAACAATTGTTAAGATAGCATATGGCATAGCAGATTTCTGTGATTCGAATGGAATTTCACTAGACAATTTAGTAGCTGTTGGTTGTGATGGCACGAATGTCAACACTGGTGCGTTGGGAGGTGTCATCCGTTTACTTGAGATGAAACTCGATAGGCCTTTGCATTGGTTCATTTGCATGCTTCATGCAAATGAGCTCCCTTTTAGATATCTTTTGTGCAAGTTAGATGGCACCACAAGTGGACCAAAGGCTTTCTCAGGTCCAATTGGTAAATTACTTCCAATCTGTGAAACTTTTCCTGTAAAGCATTTTTCAACTATAGAGATGAATAGTTTTCCAGATGTAAATTTTAAATAATTTAAGCACAGATCAAATGTATTTATATAAAATGTGCCACGCAGTGAATAATGGTGAATGCCCAATAAATCTGGCAAATAAGACTCCAGGTCCTGTGGTTCACTCGCGCTGGCTGACAACAGCTAGCAGAGTTCTGCGGTTATATGTTTCGATGGAAGATCCAACTGAAAATCTAGTGACTCTTGCAACATTTGTTGTTAAAGTTTACGCTCCTATTTGGTTTTATATCAAGACGAAATCATCTTGTACTCAAGGGGCACTCCATCTATGGAGAATGATAAACTTTTCAAGGTACCTTAAAAATGACTTAAGATGTATTGTGGATGAGGTAATTCAGAGAAATGCTTATTTCAGTCATTACAAAAACATCCTACTTGCAATGTTGACTGATGAGCGCAAACACATAAGGAAACTGGCATTCAGAAGAATCTTTGGTGCAAGGGAAAAAAACAGTCAGTCACTAAGACGCTTTCATGTGCCGAAACTTAATTTTGAATCAGATGACTACACTAGTCTAATCGACTGGAGTGTTGTCCAGAAAAGAGAGCCCCCTGCTACAAAGAACATCTTAACTCATGAAATAAAGTCATTTGTAAATGGTGTTTCATTGACTGAACCAGTTTTAAACATTCCAGAGTTTCCATGTCACACTCAGTCAACTGAAAGACACGTTAAGCTTGTTACTGAAGCATCAGCTACTGTTTGTGGTTTTGATCGCAGAGATGGAATGATTCGTGCCACACTGGAATCGAGATCAAAGACAAAAACTTTCAACACTAAGTCTCAGTTTCAATTATAAAGATTTAAAGAACTGTGAAGTTCTTGGATATATTACACATTTGTAATGTTATTTAATATGCCTATAAACAATCTGAAATATGTACGAAATTGGTTTTGTATGGATTTAAATTAAAGTACTCAATTTTCAAGTGGCTTGGGGCAGACCTAATTATTAACCTAGGGCCAAATGCTTTAACCACAGTTTACCTTGTACTAAAAGGCTACTTTTGCATACCCAGCCAACATGAATTTGCAATTATAGGAAATTATTAAATTTTTGCCAAAAACCACAAAATGGACAAAAAACCCATATTTTCGAGAGCTTTGGGGCAGACCTAAAAATTAACCTAGGGCAAAATGCTTTTACCACAGTTTACCTTGAACTAAAAGGCAACTTTTGCATACCCAGCCAACATGAATTTGCAATGATAGGAAATTATTATTTTTTAAACCAAAAATTGCGAAATTAAAAAAAAACTCAAATTTTCAAGTGCCTTGGGGCAGACCAAAATATTAATCTAGGGCAAAATGCTTTTACCACAGTTCATTTTGTACCCTAAGGCAACTTTTCCATACCCAGCTCAAATGAATTTCTAAAAAAAGGTTTTTTCACTCCACCCTACTGTCTATTCTAAGTGATCCAAAAAAGTAGACTTTTTGTCAAAAGACTTTTGGAGTATAAAGTTGAGCCGTCAGCAAATAGATGTAAGATTGTCAGGAAGATAATGTAGATAAGAAACAAAACAAGAATC